GCTTGAATGTTTCTAGGATCTTCTCCTCCTGAGGAGAGTGTTTCCTAGGCCTGAGTCTATCTGGAAAGGGAGCAACTGGTCTAAATCTATCAAAAGCAGGCTCAAGTTCGGGTTCAAGTTCTTGGTCATCTAAGGGGGGTGATTGTTGAATAGATTCATCAGAAGGAGAACGAGAAGGAATTTGTATTTGATTAAAAGTTTGACTTGGAGGAGTTCTCACTTGATTGTCAACCTGTCTACCCTGACCGAAGTGAATGGATTGCATTCACTTGAGCTTCATAGGATGAACTGCATCCTATGTCTTTAGGGTTGCCCACGGGTTGACTCGGAAATTTTCCTTTCTCTCTTTTACTCACGGCACTAGCTAGTTTACCAAGTTGGGATTCTAATCTAGCTATAGCTTGAGTGTTGGAGTTGAGCATTTATCCAGTTGATTACATGAAGGAATTCAGAGTGCTAGACGTTTGAGTTAACATATTCGTGGTTTGAGTGGAGGCCTTAATTATGGTTTCCAAACCTCTTTCCAAGACATTGAGACGGTTATCCTGATCTGGATTGTGATGAGTCTGAATTACAGCTTGATGAAGAGGAGACTGATTTTGATACGGCATATTAGGTTGTTAAAATTATGGATGAGAATTGAAAGGAACTGATTTCCCCTAGGAAAATATTGGGTTGAAGCGGGAGTTAAGTTTTGAGTTCCGGGAGAATTTATTTGATTCCATGCAAAGTTGGGATGATTTCTCCAACCTGGGTTGTAGGTTGGAGAGAATTGATCATTTGCATAACGCTAGAAAGTAGCGTTGACCTATCCTAATGGCTGATTATTTCTTAAGAGAGGACATTCTTCTAAAATATGAGATGGTAATAGACAGTTGTGACATCCTGTGGCTGAAACTTGATTGATTTGAGCCGGGGCTCTTTCCTTGATTTCTAAAGCTTCTAACCTACGCATGATTGTAGCCATCTTAGTTTCAGATGCAATGTTCGACTCTAAGGAAATACCACTGGACTTGGGTTGGGGAACTGATGACACTCGGTCATCACAGTGTTCCCATTGCATGATTTTTTCAGAAAGACTCTCTAAAAACTCCCAAGCTTCATCAGCGTTTTTCCCTATAAAATCCTCGTGGCACATTGATTCTAAGGAAGTTTTTACAGAATAATCTAATCCTTCATAAATTATTTGGCACAATCGCCATTTTTCTAAACCGTGATGAGGACATTGGATGAGAAGATCTTTAAATCGGTCAAAATACTTCCAAAAGGGTTCTCCCAAGACAATTTTAAAATTCATGATGCTGTTTCTTAGCTTCACCGTTTTATGGATCGGGAAAAATTTCTTAAGAAAAACAGTGATAAATTTCTCCCAAGTAGTGATGGAATTTACGGGTAAGCTATACAGCTATTTTTTTGCTTTGTCTTTGAGAGCAAATGGAATAAATCTGAGTTTGTTCGCATCTTCTATTAATTCTCTCATTTTAATCATAATACATACTTTCTCAAATTCCGAGATAAAAATATATGCATCTTCTGTTTCATTTCCAAGGAATTTAGGAAGCATGTTTATATAATACGGTCTAAGCTCAAAAATTATTCCATTTGTTTCGGGGAGCCTAATGTAAGAGGGGATTGCATTCCTAATGGGATAGCACATATCTTGAAGAATGGGTGGATTAGAATACGCCATTTTTATGATTGGTTCAAAGCGAATTAATCGATATGTATTATCCCTAATTCACGGTTGCATACACCAAAACTATTTCTTTTTATACTTTTTTTTATAAAAGTTAGTTTTTTTTAATGAGGAGAGAATGGAAAGAGAGGAAAATCCTAACTAAAATAAATCAAAATCAATCACTTTTCAATCACTCTCACTCTACGGTTAAGCCTAACTCAAGTAGACTAGCTCCTAACCAAAAACTCCTAAAGTAAAAATATTAAAGTTTTACCCGGGTAGTTAGTCAGGTATGGATAGTACTAGAGGGTGATTAGAGATCAATTAAGTATCTCGTTCCTTGCGGAGTGCTTTACGCAACCTCTAAACCTTGTCTTAGACACCAACTAATGTAAGAAAACTTAAACCGGTTCACTTAAGGATTCTTTGTTCCTTATTGAGCTCGAATCCTTAGGGCCAGCGTATAATGAGTTTTATTAGGCTTGGGTGGTGTAGTAAGGAATTAGTGATTTTTGGACTAAGGGAAGGGTGATAAAATCCCTCACCTTATCTTAAATATGGGGTTTTGCCCTTAAAATATTTTTAAGTGTGTGCCAAATCAAGATGCTCAAATCACTTGGTGAATTCCTACTAATAATATGAAATGCAACCCTATGAATTAAAAGCAACTAAAAAAATGGAAAAGAAAAAATCTTTTTTTTTTAATTAGGGTTAACAATCAAACAAATGAGAAGGGGGGAATTATTTGAATTTATTATCTTGTTAGTAAATGTCAAAGTGGAGGATGAATTTTATTATGGTTAACAAAAATAAAATCTCTTTTTTTTAAGTCCTAATTGTCTCTAATTGTGAAGAAGTAGCTAAAGGGTGGAATTAAAAATTCTAGAAAGAAGAATTACCTACAAGCAAATCTTCAAATCCTAGTTCTCCAATCCGCGATCTTCAAGCTCCAAGTGTTTCCTTCACAATAAACACACAAGTTAAAGAACCAAAATAATTAAAACCTACTTAAGCACCTTCCCCGGTAACGGCGCCAAAAACTTGATACGGCATAAATATGTACAAAAAATGTTACAAGTACACAACCGTGTCAAGTTATAGTATAAATATATCGATCCACGAGGAAGGTGTTTTGTAGGAGAAAATATAAAATTGGTTCTTATGTTGTGTGCGTGACAAATAGGAGTGATAAGTGAATGTGATTGTGGAGAGATGAAAATGATTATGTAAATGAATATATTTGAGAGTGGAAGTGATAATATAAATGTGATCAACAAGACAAGAAGGAAAAATCAATAACAAATAACAATCAAGAATGTAAAGATAGCGGATTCAATTAAAGATATGGGTAATCTAAAATTAAATCCACTTCTTAGAAAAAGATGATTCCCTAGAGGGTTCTAGCCTAAAGGCGAATCAAAAAAAAATGAACAAAAAAAACTAAACCCAAGAGGATTCTAGCCTCAATGTGAATAGTGCAAGAAATCTAACTACAAAATAAATTACAAAATCTAAACTACAAAATAAATTGCAAAAATTAAATACAAAAATATAAATCTACTCTATAAGTATGAAATAAATCTAATCTATAAGTATGAAATAAATCTAAGGCAAGATGGTTCTATCCTCTTGGCTATTTAAACAAGAAAATAAAATCTAATTACAAGCATGAAAATAAATCTAAACTAATAAGCAATAAAAGAGAAATAAGAAAAACAAACCTTCAAATTAATCTTCATCTTCATCTTCCAACAAAAAGAAGAAGAAAAAAATTTAAAGTGATGAAAAAAATTATTTTATTAATTGTAACAAAAAATTATAAATTTGGAAGGCCTTCTCAATTAAGAGTAGCCCTCCTCTCCAAAAAGAGTTACAAAAATTTTTACACCCCTAACCCCTCACTCTCAACCCCTATTTATAGTAAACATCAGTGAATGAGAGCCATTGGATCAAACTTGAGCCTAAATCTGAATTTTGTAGATCCTGAAGAAAAAGATTTTGTGGCTTTTAATGAAGAAGAATGGAATGAGGGTAACTCAAACTGGCAATTCTCTTTAATTGGTCAAGTTTTAGGCCTAAATGTCAAATTCAAGGCTATGGAAAGTTACATTCAAAAAGTGTGGACACACTGGTCAGTTCTTGATTTGTGTATTCTTAAGCCTGGCTTGTTCTTGTTCAAATTTCAAAGCAAAGAGGATATGGAGAATATTCTTAGGAATGGTCCTTGGTTTTTTGGTTCAAGACCCCTTCTATTGAAAATCTGGACAAATGATGATGATTTTGACAAGTTAAATGGTAATGTTTATCCCCTGTGGATTCAACTTCCTGGCTTAAGACTGAATCTGTGGAGCTCAAATGCCATAAGCAAGATTGCTAGTCATATTGGTAGGCCTATTACCACTGATAAACTCACTGCTAATAAGCAGAGATTGGCATATGCTAGGGTCTTGGTTGAGGTAAATATGCCCTCCCCCCTTCCTGATTTGATTCCTATACATGGACCAAATGGAAAGATTGTAAATCAAAAAGTGATATATGAGTTGAAACCTAAATGGTGTGAAAATTGTAAGATGGTGGGACATGATACAACCTATTGTAGGAAAAATCCTAGGACACAAATATGGAGGCCAAAAGAGAAGACTGTTAGTTATGTTGCCTCTGGTGTTTTGAACAAAATGGCAGGAAATGATGCTATGGCAGTTCAAGCTACACAACAAGAGCTTTTTTCTGGGTTGCAAAATACTTCCAAGCTGTCTGAAAATCAAATAACTCAGATAAGTGGAGAAATCAGGGGAAAAAAGGTTGTGCATGCTGTGTAGGTTTCAGAGACTTCTGTTGTCTCTGGTGATTTGAACAAAATGGCAGGAAAATATGCTATGGCAGTTCAGGCTACACAACAAGAGCTTTATTCTGGGTTGCAAAATAATGAAAGTCAAATAACTCAGATAAGTGGAGAAATCAAGGGGGAAAAGGTTGTGCATGCTGTGCATGTTTCAGAGATTCCTGCAGGCAAAACTTCTGTTGGGCAGTCTTCTGAGAAATTCTCATTACCTTCTCTAGCTAGGCATAGTCAGGATAAATTTGTGGGTGTTTCCATAAGCTCTCAACCTATTAAATCAAGACTCATTATGCAGAAGCCAGGGCTTAGAGTTTTGGGAAATTCTTTTGATTTTCTAAAAGACATGGATGATAATCCCTCTACAGTGGACAGGGGGGGTTTTGCAAGTTTATGAATCTCTCTTTTTGGAATATTAGAGGACTAAATAAGTCTTTAAAGCAGCATCTTGTCAAGCTTCATATGCAACAGAATTCTATATCTTTTATGGCTCTCTTTGAAATAAAAATCAAGACAAATAAGCTACCTATTGTTACTAGGAAAATTGCAAACACCTGGAAGTGGTATTCAAATGATCTTAACTCTAGCAAAGCTAGAATTCTTCTTCTTTGGGATCCTAATAGTATGGAAGTTCAAATTGAAAGTCAATCATCTCAACATATCACTTGTGTAGTCAGATCTTTTGATGGCAGAATTGATTGTCTTATAACTTCAATATATGGTCATAATCATCTGGAAAATAGAAGAGACCTTTGGCAGAAGCTAAAACAAGTCAGGTTATCTGCTGGAAATAAGCCTTGGATTCTTTGTGGTGATTTTAATACTATTACTGGTAGTGATGATAAACTGGGTGGTGCAGTGGTAACAGAGGCTGAAACCATGGATTTCAGGAATTTCATTGATAATTGTCACCTATCTCACATGAAAACAGAAGGTTGTCACTTTACTTGGAATAACAGGCAAGAAGCAAACTCAAGAGTTTGGAGTAGGTTGGATCGAGCCATGGTAAATGATGCTTGGCTAAATTTCTATAATTCCAGTCATGTGGAATTTTTACAACCTAATTGTTCAGATCATTCCCCAGCTCTGGTTTCAGTGTATGATGATTGTGATCAAGGTAAAAAGCCTTTTAAATTTTTCAAGATGTGGGTTAAGCATGAAGATTACATTCCCACTGTCTCTTCTATCTGGAAAACTCCTATTACTGGATGTAAGATGTTCTCTGTTGCTAGCAAACTGAAACTTTTGAAGGTTGCTCTGAAGGACCTCAACAGGAAAAATTTTCATAATATAAGTGAACAAGTAAATAGGGCAAAGATAAATCTGGACAAAATTCAAAGCAATCTACAAGCTGATCCTCTCAATTCAGTACTCATTGCACAGGAGAAAGAATGCATAGTCACTTATAACAGATTGTTGGAGTGTGAATTGTCTTTCTATCAGCAAAAATCAAGGATACAATGGATAGTGTAGGGTGACAGATGCACTAGATACTTTCATTCTTCAATCAAGGCTAAGAGGCATCTCAATAGAGTTAATCTACTGTATGATAGTGCAGGTGACAAGATTACTGATGGTGAGGGAATCATTCAAGAATTTATCTCTTTTTATAAGAATCTTATGGGATCAAAAACTGTTACCCCAAAGCCTGACTGTAAAGTCATTAGCAAAGGGGTCTGTTTAAATGAAGCTCAAGCAATTGCACTCTCCTCTGCTGTGACTAAGGAGGAAATCAAAAAAGCTATTTTTTCCATGGATGATAATAAAGCTCCAGGTCCTGATGGATTTAATATGTCCTTTTACAAGTCTGCATGGAGTATTATAGGGGATGAAGTTTCACAGGCAATTCTTGATTTTTTTCAAAACTAGGAAACTGCTTGGTATGATAAACTCAACTTCCATATCTCTAATTCCTAAAGTGAAATGTCCAAAGACTCCTTCTGATTTCAGACCTATTGCTTGTTGTAACTGTCTATATAAGATCATTTCGAAAATTCTAGCTAACAGGATAAAGACAGTGATGGGATTTTTGATTAATGAGGCTCAAAGTGCCTTTGTTAAAGGAAGGCAAATATCAAGTAATATCTTGATGGCTCATGAGATTGTGAGGAGCTATGGCAGGAAGCACAATTCACCCAGGATCATGATGAATATAGATATCAAGAAGGCTTTCGATACTATAAGTTGGAATTTTCTTAGAGATTTGCTTACTGGTCTGGGGTTCCCTGATATCTTTACAAACTGGATCATGGTGTGTATTACATCCCCAAAATACTCTATTTCTTTAAATGGCACACTACATGGTTATTTCAAAGGAGAAAGGGGTTTGAGACAAGGTGATCCTATCTCTCCCTATTTGTTTACACTGGGTATGGAGTTCCTGTCAAGAAAATTAGACATGCTTAAAGAGGACAGATCTTTTAAATTTCATCCTAGGTGTGGTGAGTTAAAAATCACTCATCTAATATTTGCAGATGATCTCCTCCTCTTTTCTAAGGGTGACATTCATTCTGTTAAACTTCTTTTCAACTGCTTCAAGGAGTTTAGTGAGGTATCAGGTCTGGTTGCAAATCCAGAAAAATGTAAGATCTTTTACAGTGGTGTTGATGAACATACCAAAAGCTTGATTAGTAATCTCCTGAACTTCACAGAGGGTGCACTGCCCATCAAATACTTGGGGGTTCCTTTGATATCCAAACGATTATCATATACTGATTGTTCTCCTCTTTTAAACAAAATCTCAGATCAATTACAAGCTTGTCTGAAAAATAGAGCTCTGTCTTTTGCTGGCAGATTACAAATTATTAAGAGTGCTATTCTTGGCATCCAGATATATTGGACTTCAAATTATATTCTTCCTGTCAGAGTATTGCAGAAGATTGATCAAATGTGCAGGAACTTTCTATGGGGCAAAACAGATCAAAAACATAAAATTCCTCTGGTTTCTTGGGATAAAGCCTGTTTGAGTAAAAGGCATGGGGGTCTTGTCATCTACTCATCAACAATTTGGAATATGGCAACTATGCTAAGGTTAATGTGGCATATCCATGTTAATAAAGAGAGTCTATGGATCAAATGGATACACAGTGCATACTTAAGAAATGATGATATATGGCATGTTCAGGCTAAAAACTGGGACTCATGGATGTGGAAGAAAATTTTAAAAATCAGAGACAAAGCTGTTAGCTTTTGTGGAGGTCTAAATAACTTGTTGCTGCTCATTCAATCTTTCTCTGGAAATTCTAGAATCCAGATTTCAGCATTGTACAATGCTCTCTCCCCTAATTCTTCAGTTGTGCCATGGCATAGAACAGTTTGGGAGACTACAAACTTCCCCAGTCACTCTTTTATCTGTTGGTTAGCAATCCAAGATAGGTTGCTTACTATCGACAGACTGATTAAGAGGGGATTAATGAACTCTAACAATTGTTGTCTGTGTACTGGTTCTGAAAACAGAAACCATCTTTTCTTTGAGTGCTGCTATTCAAGAGAAGTGTGGCTAAAAATTATGGATTGGCTCAGTTTCAAATGGCAGTCCTGTGATTGGAATCAGATTGTGATTTGGTACTGTGATAGACTGAAGGGTAATGGTTTCAAGCAAAGGATTAAAAGGATGGCTCTAACTACAGCTGTTTATAGTATATGGAGAGAACGGAATTTCAGGATTTTCAGGCAGAAAGCAAGGCCAGCTGATCAACTTTTTAGAGATATCAAATTCAACATTTATTCTTTTGTTCTCAATGGCTCTTTTAAGGCAGAAGACAGAGAATGGATCATTTCACTTTGACAGTCATTGAAGAGAGCAAATAGCAGGGTCTAAGCTGCTGTTAGTTGCTGTTGAGGAGAGCAGGTTTTACTCAGTAGCTGTTAGTTGCTGAGTTTTTGATTGAGTTCTTTTTTCTTTGAACTCTTAATGTCAGTTTTGATATCTCATACATATGATGAGATTCTTGATGTACATACATTCTTACATTTGGTGATGAATAAAATCTTTCATTTACCAAAAAAAAGAATGCAATTTCGACCGTTGATGAAATCTGGATGACTTCACATCGATACAGGCATCGATGCCCGCATCGATACCCGCATCGATACTGGTATCGATGTTCCAATAAAAATTCTGACTTCACGGTTAGCTTCGTCTCATCGAGATAGGCGATTTTCATATATTATATGTTAAATTCCGCCTTCCGGAATGAGAGATATCGTCGTTTCTTTGCGGCCAACTATCTTGAATACATTTTTTCCATATTTAATTTTTTTATTTTCTCCGGTTTCTACTGGCTACTCGGCTTGATTCTGAGCTTGGACTTTTTGACTCTTGCTTGTGTTATTCATTTAATTCAGGGGTTTTTTGTTGAGATAAGAGATCTTGGGCTTTATTCTTCACTAACCTGCAATTAAAGATAAAAACAATTATTAATGACATATTTACTCATATAAAATAGATAATGAGGGTATAAACTTGTAATAAAATGTGATTATCATTCATTTTGTGGTGTATTGCTTGTTTCATTTTTTTGCACAATTATTACCTTATGACCCTAATCAACCCCCCCTCTAGGGTCCAACAAGACTCTCCAAAGAGCTCTGAGATCCTTATTGGCCATGAAGTTTCCCTTAACTGAAATAAGGGAATCCTGGTCCTGACCCCTTAACTGAAAATGGGTCAGTGTTAGTGAGGAAGAAATTTGGATCATTCTCTTTTGTTTTGGATATCTTACTTCCTAACAATAGGATTTTAATCCAACCACATCATCCCTGTACACAATTACAGGAGGAACTAAAATAGGTATCCTCAAGCTCATTCTCTCAATTTTTTTTTTCTAAAATTTGGTAAAGATCACTTGTTGTTGTTGTTATTATTTTTACTTTTCCACTATCTTAAAGTTCCCTTGAGTGGAGCCCCACTCAAGGGTGGACTAGTATTAGATATCATGGTTATTAATAAGGAGAGGAAGGGGAAAATGACGCTCGCACACTATATGATGGCCCCAATGGAGCACTTTTAATGTGCCTCACTAACCCAAAGAATACCAAAGTTTCCACTTTAGCATAACAAAAAGAAAAGATAGTTTTATTAATGTTTCTATTTTTTTGCTACCTAATAACAGAAGTTCTTTCTATATATTCTCTAATCTGAGATACTAAACAAGGTTACAAGTGAATTGTCCTTAGCTCTCTGGAAGCTCGCTAATGAGAGGATGTATTAGTGCATGGTGATTACATGAAAAGTATTATGGTATTTATCCAAAAATTTTGCACAAAGAATAAATTGATTGCATATATATATTAGCTACAAGGAATTTTATATTATATTTGTATAACGAAGAAATTGAATCACTTTCCAAAGATTTATTTTTAATGAAATCGATAGATGCATGGACATCCTATCCACATTCACTATTAATTTTACATGCTAATTGTTGTCTCAATAGCAAATGTAATTCTAAAAAGCGCCTTTAATACTTTGCGCTCAATAATAAAATAACACGAGTCACTCATTTAGCAGTTTTTTTTTTTTTTTTTTTTGTTCAATGAAAAATTTTATTCATTACCAATATATGAAAGTTATAATACATCAATGTCTATCTCAAGACTGGTTACAGAAACAGTCTTCAAAAACTAAAAATTCTCTACATAGTTCTTTATGTGCTGAGGTATATTATCATTTAAGATCCTTGTATATACATGTATCTTTATCAATCTAAAGAGATGATCAGGGCCTCTTATCTGCTGCTGAAATATACGCAAATTTCTCTCTTGCCAAATCATGTAGACTGCAGTAGATAAAGCCATCCTTTTAAGCTTTATTTTGAAACTTTTTCCTCTCAAATTGTTCCCAAACCAGCTGGTGATATGATCCCACCTGCATGATTTCCTTTTGAAGCATAGCCAATCCATAACTTGATTCCAAACATTAGCTGAATATTGGCATTCGAAAAAAAGATGCTGACAGGTTTCAATCTGTCCTTCTCTTGTACATAAGATGCACTGATTTGAGCTCAGAATTCTCATTTTGTAAAGCCTTTCTTGTGTTAGCAGCCTTGATAAGAATGCCAACCAAAGAATAAATGAATGTTTAGGTAGATTCCATCCTCCCCAAACAGTCCTTGACCATGTAGACAGATTTGAGTACTGAAAAATTCTCCTGCACAATACTGAGACTTTGATTTTATCTTTAGCACAGCTATCCCTGATGACATTCTGGAGACTATTCACATTACCAAGTTTATCAATCATCAAATTCCTCACTCTTAAAAGCTGCTTCCATTGCCATGAATCATTTTTCCTTGGTTGGACTTGCCAGATAGAATGCTGTCTTAGATAGTGACCATGAATCCACTTTATCCAAAGAATATCCTTCTTGAGATGAATCATCCAAAGAAGTTTGGCCGCCATAGTATAATTCCAATGCACAGTAGAGTATATTCCAAGCCCCCCATGTTCAGTTTCCTGACATATAGAACCCCAGCTCACCAGATGAATTTTATGCCCCCATAAGAAATCTTGAATTCAGCTAGACAATCCCTTAGCCTTGATATTGTATACATATCAGCTCTGCCAAAAAGAAGAAGATCATCCGCAAAAGCTAGATGAGTTATTTTCAGTCTTGAGCACTTAGGATGAAACCTGTAGAGCTTGTCCCCCTTGAGAGTGTTTAATTTCATAGACAGATATTCCATTCCAATAACAAACAAATAAGGCGATAAGGGATCTCCCTGCCTCAAACCCCTAGCACCTTGAAAATACCCATGAGGAGTACCATTTATAGATATGGAAAATCTTGGGGTAGAGATGCACTCCATAATCCAGGAAATCATGTTGTCTGGGAATCTTAAACCTTTCAGCATGTCATTGATGAACACCCAACTAATTGTATCAAAAGCCTTCCTCAAATCAATATTTAATATGGCTCTAGGGGAATTGTTTTTCCTACCATAGTGCTTAACAATCTCATGTGCTAAAAGGATATTGCTAGATATAAGCCTACCCTTCACAAAAGCACTCTGAGCATCACTTATCAGATATCCCACTACCTTTTGAATTCTGGATGCAATGATTTTGGTTATGATTTTATACACACAATTGCAGCAAGATATAGGTCTAAAATCAGCAGCATATTGAGGATTATGAATCTTAGGAATCAAAGTAATAGAAGTAGAGTTGAAGGTACCGAGCAGTTTTCCTGATTTGAAAAATTCCTCCGCTGCAGAGAAAAGTTCTTCACTGATAATACTCCAAGATGCTTTGAAGAAGATGGCACTGAAACCATCTGGACCTGGACTTTTATCATTTGCCATAGAAAAGACAGTTTGTTTAATCTCATCCCTTGTAACTGGAGAGCTCAGCTCATGGCTTTGATCAGGAGATAGAAGAGGCCCATTTGCAATAACCATTGGATCAGGATGAACTGTTTGAATTGAAGTCCCCAATAATTTTTGTAATAATCCACAATTTCAGTAACAATATCAGCACTGTCAGTGATCCTAATCCCATTCTCTGTATAAAGAGATATAATTCTGTTTTGATGCCTTTTCTTTTTCATGATGGAATGGAAGAATTTAGTACCTTTATCCCCATCTAGACACCAATTAATGTTTGCTTTCTGCTTGTAAAAAGATGACTCACAGTCCAGAAGCCTTTCATATTTTTTGATACAATCTTTTTCTCTTCTTATCAGATCAGGATTGAAAAGATCCCCAGACAGTAGCCCTTGAACTTCAGTTAAGCTATTTTTTGCTCTAAGAACTTGCTCACTAATATTCATATAGTGCTTCTTATTTAGATCTTTAAGAGCAGTCTTTAGCATTTTGAGCTTGGAATGGAAACTGTACATTTTAAAACCATCTATGTTTTGTTCCCAAATAGCTTTGACTGTAGACATGAAGTCAGGATGCTTTACCCACATGTTGAAGAATTTGAATGGCCTCTTACCAGTTATAATATCATCTTCAATGGTTAGAAGAGCAGGAGAGTGATCAACCAGTGATTGCATTGAAATCCCCTCCAATAACCCAGGGACCAGTAACATTACTTTTAAAAGTTAAAAGATCACTCCAAAGAATTCTCCTGCTTGTCATTTGATTGTGGGCATAGACAATAGTGCATAAGCTGGAGAATTTACCATCTCTGGATTCTATCCGACAGGTAATGTATTGGTCTGTTAAGATTATTTCTTGCACTGTAAGAATGTCACTATCCCACAGTAACCAAATCCTTCCATTACCAGCTTCATGAACATTAGAAATCCACTTCCAGTCTTTTGTTATTTTCATAGCCAAACTTTGAAGCTTATTACCAGGAATTTTAGTTTCCAGAAGACCCAACAATGAGAGATTGTATTCTTGAATAAACTGTCTCACTATCTTGTGTTTAGAGGATTTATTAAATCCTCTTATGTTCCAAATAGCAATGTGCATTTAAAAAGAACTCCCACCCCTGTCAACACATGAGGGATTATCCAATGAAGAGAAAAGAGATAACTAAATACCTGGGTTAGGAGGTTTGATTATAGAAGCTCTTCTTGCAATTTTTGCTCTGCTTATACTGGAAAAACCAGTTGCATTAACACTTGGTGTAGCTTGATGGATTTGTAAATCATTTATTGCATTTATCCCATATTCTGCTGCTTTTCCAGTCCCAGATTCATTCACCTGAACAGCAATAACTGTCTGTGCATGTTTTTGTGCACGTTTTTCAGTTAACATATCTTCCTGATTTGGTGAATCAAAAGGATTTGCTGCTTTTCCTTCCTGAGCACTAGTGCCAATATTGGCATCAGAATCTCTCATTTAGCAGTTTTACCTAAATTAAAAGATCTTAGAAAGTCCTATATGAGAAAAAAGAGATAAATTATAAAATGTTTAAATTAAGAATGAACCCAAATTTGCACTGAACTTGGCGTGATCAAATTTGCAAGACACTAGACGATTTCAACTTTATTTAGTTTTAGTTTTTGAATAAACCCCATATTGTCATTTTTGACCTTGAAGATCCCATCAAATATGTTAAAATATAAAAACAATAACCCTGGATCCCCATCCTAGCTTTGAAGTTTTGCTTCAATGGTAAAGTAACTTTAAGATAATAATATATAGAGCAACCAGGTTCAAATCCTATATGTCACTATTTTAAACTGGATTTTCTAAAAATTGACACCTCTTTAACAAAATATTCTTCTACTTTACCATTGAGTCAGATCACCTCTCTAACGCTTCCGTATTAGCATGTAAATTAAATCCAAACCGATTTTTCTTATGTTCATTCATCAAGTTCCTTAAAAATTTCATCATAATCTACTTGATAAAACATTCTCACAAGCAGTATCAAATACTCCACATGCATGGATAACATCACAAAGCTATCTTTTCTCCAAGATCAAAAGTAAGAATCTATTTATGAATTGGATATTTGGATGATTGGCGCGTGGGCTTCGTACTTTTGCTAGGAAAAGAAAATCTACAATAAGGACACATATAGAGAGATATGATGGAGATGTGATAAGAAGGAATTCAAATTGATTCATGACTCCAATCCAACAACCCTTCATTATATTCACTATACTTCAAAATAGTCCAATGTCAACCTAGATATCCGATGCTAGCTTTTGAAAAATAAAATAAAATTGTAGGACATCACTTTAAGGAGTAGTCTAAGTATATATCACTAGATCTCATGGGCACATATTTTCAGTTATAGGTGCTTGCCTCCTTCATGGTATAGAAAACTCCTACACCATTAACGGATGCTAATTTTTTCTTTGGCTTTGCATTGCTCCACGGTTGTGTGTCTGAATAGGAAACAAACTTAGATTATTGCAACCCCACAACAAGCCTATACAAATGGACTAAGGTTAACCCTATAGCACCTTAACACAAATCTTGATCAATGTGGTATATGACCTCATCGATGATGAACTATAACACAATTAGCATTACTCATTATTAACTATTATGCAAGGAACGAGCCCACATTTGGTGGTCGGTGATAAAGTTAATTGGTAACTTGACATGCATGTTATATATTGATAGTTTCATCTGTCTATTTATTTTTATATGTCTGTCTGTTCACCTATCTGTCTATTTATCTATATGATGTACGGAAGCATAAATAATCGTTCATCTGCATAATTTTGACTGGTGAGTAACATTATGGGGGCGGTACACCTTGATCAGTGTTCGCTAATTAATTTGCGTTTTTTTGAAGTACTAATTTACCTTAATTTATTGCACTCATAGTGAACGGTGGAGAATGATTGGACGGTTAAATAATTGAGGTAGGTCTAGTAATGTTACCACATTGTTGAGTGATCTCTATCGATTTGACTTTGGTTACTTCTACCTAACTAAATTCATGTTAAATGAGAACCAATCATGACCCAAATGTGTTTTTGACTGTTTAATGTTCAATTATGAGGAGTCTTATGCTAGGGTTAGGTTCAAGGTAATGTATAGCATATATGATTGGCTAACGGCTAGACACTCCAAAATCCTTTTGCTGAAAGGTTAGAGAAAAATTCTTGAAAGCTAAAACTTTTTTTAATTAGAATAATCAAGGCATAACCTTTTCCTCAAAAATTATATAATATCTTATAGATATTGACTCTGGTAATTAAGTTTTCACACCACCCAATTTATATGGTTACTGTCAAATCCTGCACTTAATTTTTTCTGAATACGACAGATCTTAGTTCGCGTTGTTTGGGATAAGTAAGCTAGGAAAAAGCAGTTCTGGAAGTAATTTGAAGCTATTGTCAGGTTTAGATTGACGAATTTTCTAATACCTTAATTCAGAGCTCATTATTAATTAGTTAAAATTGTCCTAAAGTTCCATTACTCATTTCTAATTAATACCACAATATAACAGATTACTGATTCTGGTAATTAAGATTACTAAGATTTATGAAATTAAATATATACTAAAGGAATATCAGCTGTTGAATCATTGGACTTCTATAGTCTTGAGTAGATTCAATACATCCGTATTATTTTGATTTCGATATGTATTAAATGTTGTGAATCATGTCTATCGGATACTTTCTCCATAAATTTCCTTGTTTGCATTCAATATACCCCTGTCACTAAATATCTCGGTAAATATCTTCACAAATATCAATGTTCCACTCTGAGTGGGATTTTGATGCATGCATGCCTCTTTTCAATGCTATTGCTGGATGCACGCTGGGATTACAACAGCAAATCCAATCCTTTTAATTCCAAAGCTGGTGCACTTTTAATCATAGGATTAGATTATTCCCACAAATTTTAGTTAGTTTAATTCACTTAATGGGAATCCTCCACCGTTTAATTCACTTATTTGACGAATAAATTTATCCCACTTATCCCTCTCTTTTCCACTTTATCTTTTTCTTGGGTTTTATTCTATTTAGTCCTTTAAATGTTGATTGAAACTAGTCCCTTAGATCGGTCATTGAAACTTCTAGTACCCACCCAATTATCATATCTTGTTGTTGTTATTCTTATTGGAGTGACTAATTTAAAACAACCTTTTGGTGATTTGAGGAACTAATTTGAACACTTTACAGAAATTGAGGGACCAAATAGCAACTTAAGTGCTTAGAAATAATTTAAAATATTAAATATGCGAGGGAATAATATGAAAAACATTACTTTTTTCCCGCCTTTTTCCAGTGAGAGAATAAGTGGGGTGCACGTTCCCGCTTACGCCAGCATCCTAATCATGCCTGGACACGTGGTGGACTTTGAAGCAAAGTGTGGGCTGGGGCCTATCTTTTTTCGCGGAAAGTGTCTGGTGACGAGGCTGGATGTATGCACGTGGCACAAGAGGAGCCAGCGGGGCCCGCTTCAGCTTTTCGTTTGCTTTTCCTCGAGGAAAGTCAGGTGATCCGCATGGGCATGTTAATGCTAAGCTGGACAATTGGGGATTCTAGAAGAGTATTATGTTTCGCATGTTTTTTAATAAAAGTGAAAACTTCTATCTTACATTATTATGTTTGGTTTTTTTTAACTGCTTCCCTTAGCCCTTAGATCTTAGGGGGTGTTTGGTTCACTAGTTTTATAGAAAACATTAGGAAAATTGACAAACAGTGGCAAGTCTGTAAATAAAATTTTTCCCACTATTTTTGAGAATTGTGTTTGGTTCCAAAAAGTTTATAGAAAATTTTTCTATAAAATACAAAAAAGTGAATCTAAGGTGACACTCTAGGTTCCCACCTAAGGACGCGGTCTAAAATCACATCATTTCCTAATTTTTTTTACGATTCGCTCCGTTGAACTTGATCTACACGTTCTTAAACCCAAACACACCAATTTTGGGATAAAACCGTCGTGTTTTGACCCTTTATCCACTCGCTGTAATTTTAACGGTTTCGAATGAATAAAACTTTTTGTAAGGCTCAACGATTGGTCAAAACACAACGGGTTCACCCTAAAATTGGTGTGTTTGGGTTTAAGAACGTGTAGATCAAATTCAACGGAGCGGATCACAAAAAAAATTTAGAAAATGATGTGATTCTAGGCCGCGTCCTTAGGTGGGAGCCTAGGGTGTCACTTTAGATTCATTTTTCCCAAAAGAATAACATTTCCCAGAAATCAATTTCAGTTCAAATACATCTGAAATTAGAGAGAAATCTGACATAAAAAAAAAGAATAAACCCATACCCATACCCCATTTCCCACTCCGCTTCACATTTATCTTGTGCCAAAATCGGCAGAAATTTTTTTAGGACTTCTCTTCCGCTCCCACCCCCAATCCCTCAATCCCACCTCGTGCGCGCGCCTCTTCTTCTTCCTCCAGCTCTCCCACTCTCGCTCCCGTCTCCAAACTTCATCTTCACACCTCGTTCTCGTCGGATTTCTCGCGGTCGATTGAGGATTCCTGGAGAGTTGGGGATTCACCAAAGAAACAATTTTGGGCCTTTCTTTTCGGTTTTTGGTGTTTAATTTGTCGTCAGATTCGTCAAGAACCTGACTGCGCTCCGATTTGAAATAAAAAAACTCTAATCCCTTGGCTATTTTAGATCTTAGACTGTTGAGATTTTGGTTATGATTTTGTGCTGAGCATGATGGATGTTGTTAACAAATTACTGTTTAAGACCATGGTTTGGGGAACAGGCATTAATAGTTGAGACCCTGTTGTTGTCTACTTCAAATCTAAACATAACCTCCTACAAAGTAAAAATCAAGAAACTATAATGTCGAGCTGCTCTCTATTCTTATTCGAGCTATTCTTTATTCTTACTTTTGTGCATATACGTTAGTAACTGTGCACTTGCATGTGAGTTTGTGCATGTGTAATGTGGAGGGAATGTCAATTGAATATAGGCTGAATGTTCTCAAGCACAATACTGGTAGAAAATAGAAAAATGAGCACACATGAATCTTTTCCATGTATCTGGACCATGTAGCATGATTATGAACTGAAGAACATGAAATGTCCATACTTATTCTATCACAATTGCTGGTGGAAGAAAGCTAAAAATCTGAACATCTATCATGTCTTAGACTCGGTTCTCTAATAAACCTTTTGTTGAATAACAATTTCCTAATATGTTTCCTAATTTATTTTGGTAACAGGTTATTGGGATTTCTAATATGTTTTGGTAACAGGTTATTGGGATTCATAATCTGTTTTGGTAACATGATTCCTAATCTGTTTTGGTAACAAATTATTAGGATTCCTAATCTGTTTTGATTTTGGTTTTAGAATTCCATCTGTTTTGGTAACAAATTATTAGGATTCCTAATCTGTTTTGATTTTGGTTTTAGAATTCCTAGTATGCTTTTGGTTTTAGGATCCTAATCTGTTTTGA